CTTACTCGATGACACACATTTCGTGTGTTTTATGTGAGCAGTTCTGTTCGAACAGTTGGAGTAGAGAATATTGTAAGTTACTGCTAGCAAAACAATGCGAAATATGTAATTATTTTCGGTAATCCGGACACTTTTGGTAATCTGACACACCTTTGGTCCCATACCTGTCGGATTATCAAGGGACAACTGTATTACTATTATTTATAATATTAATAATTAAAAAATTCACCTTCATAATGTTAGAAATACTAGGGAAAAGGAATGACTCAAAGCATTCAAAAAAGAGTTTGTGTATGTTGTTATAGAATGGCTGAATCAACAACCATGCCCAAAATTAAAGCAACACAAAAATCTACATGGCAAAAATGAAGAAATAAATGGTATTTTACCACAATGAATTATCCAAATGCTTTCTCTGTGGCATTCCTGATAAGCTACTGATGTATCAGGAACACTTCTTTACTGTTAGTGACCTTAAAAGATCATTGTTTATCAGAAATGATTTTGCTGTATATTTAACACTACATTTTGTCACATGAGTGCATAGCTATCATGCCTTGCTTACATGACACACGATAGGACAATGCTTTGCTGATTTACATATGACATAAGTTTCAGTTATTCAGTTTTATGAATCTGATTTTACACAAGTTTTGTATTTGTTGCTTTAATTTTGGATGCCAGTGTGTGTAAAATTCTATACATCCCATGGTTTATCTTTTTTTAGTTTTGTATGACAATATATTTTGTTTGGATTGCATGGATTGTAAGAAGACAGGGGATTGGTCTGTATTGTGAGGGTTCTTTTGTATTGTTTTTGGGTTTTGCGTATGTGATGCCATTTAAGAAATTTTGACATGTTTTGTGGAGTGATGATTGTGTGTACAATATGTTTTGTTATTATTATATATTTCTTCAAACTTATGAAGGATATCATGCAACACTTAAGTCTGTGATTGAATATGAAAGAACTTGCATTAATAAATGTGTATTCTTTGTTATTCTAACTGTTATAACAGTTACATTTTTAAAAATTTAAATAATAATTTACAGTGGTACCTCAGGATACGAAATTAATTCATTCCGAAACTGAGATCGTATCATGAAAATGTCGTAAGGTGAATCATTTTTCCCCATACGATTACATGTAAAACCAAATAATTCAAAAACACTCAAATTAAAGCTAAGTAGTACATTAAAAAATAATAATAAATATAGTAAGGAAAACACTGAAAAATGCGTTTTGTAGTTGTAAATGTATAAATAACCATAATAGAATAATAATTGTTAAAAAAAGAAATGTAGTTTTATGCACTTTACCTTTGAGGATAGACAATGGTTGAGATGTAAACTGGTGGTGGGAGAAGGAAAATCATACTAAAACTTAACTTACATAACATAATGTAACAATAACTTAAAAATAACTTAGAAAAGATAAAAAAAATTAGTGTTGTTTTATATATATATATATATATTTTTTAAAATTTTTATTCATTACTTTTTGCTTTCTTTCCTTCACTTCCACCAGCACTTTCACTGGATAGAGGTGGCTTGGTAAAATATCTATCCAAAGAGATTTGGCTTTGCCTACTTTTTAAAATGTTTCTAAAATGACTTAGGCAAATATTATTACTCTGAGCAGCAATACGGCCAGTGTGAACCTTTTCGGGATGTTTCTTTTCAATAAAATCAGTCACTTTCTGATAATACCTCAAGATTTCCTTTATTGAGTGAGATCCTTCCATGATGAAGCAAACATGCAGACTGAGACCAATGAACATAGTAAATAAAAAATGGTGCTGTGAACTAATGTAACGTCGTATGGTGAGTTTTTGTTTGTATCATGGAGCAAAAATATGTTCGAATTTCATGTCGTATTCTGAAAATTTCGTATGCTGGGGCGTTCGTATCCTGAGGTACCACTGTATGTGTTATGTGTTCTGAACAAACTAATAAATCTTCTTAGATTCATAAAACTAATAAATCTTCTTAGATTCATTAGTTTGTTTAGAAGAACATTAATTAAAAATTTTACATATGTAAATTATACNCGAAATAAAAATTTAATAGTACAAACGTTTTCAGACCCCTCCTGGGTCCATCTTCAGGCAAAAAATCGTTTGAAGATTACCGAAGTACGAAAAATATTCGTTTAGAACGATTTTTTAAAACCGAAAAGATAGAACGGAATCACGTGATCTATATCTGTGAACGTCATATCTTCTACGTCATATCTTCTACGTCATATTCACAGATATTTAAATATTTTCCCTCGTTTTTAAGATTTTATGAATAACTTTGTTGTTAAGCCCATAAAATATATCACATAATTTTAGATAACCCATTTACTTCCTTTCTTTTAGGATTATGACATACTTAAACCTCCTGTTGTAATAGGGCCTGCCATGCCAAAGAAAGAGAGATCTCATCTATTAAATTTTTATTTCGCATCGGTTAAAGGTTCTAAGGTACGTGATATTTTATATAAAACACACCTCCATTTCAACACAAATGCAAATGCTTAGGAAAATATTTAATGTATTTAAACTATCCTGTACCTTTGTCACTTGGCAGCAATCTTTTTTATTGTATTTCAGTTTAAAATAATAATAAAATTGAATGCATACTTTTATTTATCTAGGAAAAACAACAGTTCGAAGGAAGTCATTTATGTATTAATATCAATATATAAATGGTCAAAATACCATAATTTTCTAGGAATTATCATATCAACAGATGCTATATTCACTAACCAATTAACTTTATTTTACCCAGATGCATTTTAGAAATTACAATATTGAATTTTCTTCCATACAAGCTAAATAAGGCACAACAATTCTCTGATACACTAGTAAATACATTAAAACTACAATAAATATACACTATATACAATCATATCTATTAAAAACCATTAAATGTTTTACCTTCTAATTTCATGTTCTAACCATTTAACCATTTTCATCTATTTTTTAAAGAATGTAATTTTAAGGTTATTAAGAGAAACTAATTATATTCTTCCATAAATTACTATACTACATTGTATTCCTTTCTAAATGATGTACATAGTCCTTGCTATTATTACTTTTATACATTTTCCATAACATCATTTGTCAACACTCCAACGGCCAAACACTTCCCCTCTTGCTCCCTATCAGCCAAAAACTAATTCCACAATCCATGTAAATTTATACTATCATCTTAATTTATTAGTAATAACAATTTTTACATTTAACTATCTATGTGTTCAAACAACTTTTTCTTCATTATATTCTTCTCTAAACAAACTATCTTTAATGTATTAAGATTGATCTGACATCCATTCTTCACACAATGTTTAGCTACACTGAAGTTATTGTAATTATTTATCATTAAAATATTCTACATGAATGCATGCAAAAACAACTTTTTTTTTTTTTTTTATAAATTTTATTTATAAATACCGTTGACCAAGATTTAATTTGAATAACATTTTTACTCGAGTTGGGTTAAGAAGAGGTTACCTATTGCCTACTGAATGTTATAAATCACAAGTAAAGATAATTAGAATATAATATAATATTGTATAAAATTAGATAAGCTGATTCTTGATCTGAAAGTTGGGATATAGAAATTCCATCTCAAATTTTTCTATCATTTAGATACATTTGAATATCTCGAAAAATATTTATTTGATGATAAAATTATGACTTCTAGATCAAGACTGAGCCCTCTAATGCTCTAATGAATAATATAAACATTATAATATCTGAGCAAACATATTTAAATGATTTTTATAATCAATAATCTATACAGAAATTATAATTAAATATTATAGGAAAAGAAAATCATAATTGAATTAAATGATTATTATTATTTTATTTTTTACAGAAATCATAAAAGAGTACGGAAAGAGAACAGAAGATGTTTCAAATTTATCTGAAGAAAATGTTAATAAGCCAGATGAAGAAGAGCTTATTGGATCTGATTTTGAATCGGATGGTGCTTTGCAAGAAACTTCGTTTTCTGAATCATCATCAGTTGCATTTGATAGTATTACCTCAACCAATTATTCAAAAGAAAATGCCCAAAATTCTTTATTAGATAAAGAAACACCAAAGCAGATATCAAATTATCATTCTGATAAAAAAGTGTTTTATGACCCAGAAATAGATGATGATAATTGTTCATTATTTTCCAATGATCAGAAGGAATATAATTCAAAAGTTAAAAATGAACGCAGAAGAACAGCATTAAGAAACAAATTAAAAATTATTATAAATGATTTTTCAGAAGAAGAATATTTTGATGATGATGATCATCATCATCATCATCAAAATCCGGAATTTCCAGATTTTTCAATAACAGAATATTCTGATAGTTGTGAAAATTCTGATGTTGATTCTGTTGATCATGCAGCAATGCATCCTGAATATGTAGTTGAGAAAGATAATCTACAAGATGACATTATAAACACTGGTAAAGGATTGCAGACATTACATATAATAGACCATCGATCTTTTAATGAAAGTAAAAGTCTTGAAACAACATTTAGCAGTCAGAATAAACTTAATGAAAAAATTGAAGAAAAAGACAAAGCTATAAGATCGCTTCATGAATTTGAAAATCAAAATTTAAATCTTGCACAAAGTATTGAAATATCAGATGAAAAATTATTCTCATCAATTATAGACCAATTTTTTCCTATGTCTGTTAATTACAGACAAACAAAAATTTTTATTTTTCATTCAGATAAAAATAATAATGATGCTTTTGGACTAAGCAAAAGTTTAAATGAATGTAATTTTCAGGCATTTGCAATGGAACAACTTCCTTCTGTATTGTTAATGAATTTTTGTTGTTTCGTCCAATTTATAGTTGACTGGGTATGTTATGAAAGATGCTTTAAGTTTTTATTTATATATTAATATTTTCTTTAGATACATGAAATCATTAATTTATTTGAATACGGAAAATCAACTATTTAATTACAAACATTTTACATATGTTGATTTACTACTGTATGGGACAAAATTGTATGACACAAAAATTTTCATTAAAACGAAAAATAATAAATAGAGTTAACAAAAGACAACTAAAATTAAAAATAATAAGTTTGACATGGCCAACGATTATTTAATACTATTATAATAAATATAAGTACAATTTTTCAAAGAAAAATTCTTTGTTTCAGTCATTTCTTTTGTTGTTCGCACCATCAGCAGTTCATAAAAATCACAAATACTCACAGAAACGACCTTCCTTTTTAGGCTACTGCCTCCGTAGTTAGAATGAAAAAATGATAAAAGCATCAATGAAAGAAAGACTGAAACAAAGAATTTTTCTTTGTAAAAAATTGTACTTATATTTATTACATTAATAACTAAAATTATTTGATATCATCATCCACTATAAACATTTTACAACTTTCAATAATTTTAAATTACACTTTCTTATAACTTCTTGAAAAAAGTGATAGGCACAAAATTATAAGACATTAAATAAATTTCACAATATGCATGTTGTAGAACAACCTTGATTTGTTACTACCAGAGCTGTGGAGTTGGAGTCGGAGTTTTGGTGTTTTAGCCAAGGTCGGAGTCAAAAAATCCACCGACTCCGACTCCTTTTTACTTTCCGACTTGTTATGTGTATAAAACGAAAAAGTATTGGAATCATGTCATATTTGTCCCTCCAAGTCTTTTTTGCAAATCTACACATCTGGAGACTCCCGAATCCCCAAAAATGTCAATAAAAGGGGAAAATTAGTGCACGCGTGTGTTTGCGTCTAATTTGTTTAATTTCTTTATTTTCTGTTCTGAGATATTAAACAGTATTTCAGAACAGAATGGGTAAAGTTTAAGAAATGAAACATGGCACTGTAACTTGCATATAAAAGGCATTAATACTATTAAATTTTGGTTCTTAATTAAAGGTCGACAGGGTGAAGACATAAAAGGGGTCATGTGTCATATCTCTTGATGAATATTTTACACGTTATTAGCGTTCAAAATTTAAAAAAGAATAATAAAACTCGTCCCTACCCACAAAGTAAGCTTTTTTGTCATTTTATAATAGTACAGTAAAACCCATTAAGATGTTCTTGCCTAAGATGTTAGAATGTGTATGGGGACATGATTTAGTTCAACCACTCTGATGCTTAATAACTAACTCCTGTGTTAAACCATCTGACTCCGATTCTGACCACTCTCACCACAGAAATTATTAGGCTTCAAACAGGGTGAACAAAATTATGCCCCACACACAGTCTAACATCCACACATATAGAAAAAACTTCGAATCTTTTGCATATCTCGAAATTTCAAAGGTGTCCTGAGTCCAAAAATGTAAAAATTTGGGAGGGGACATTTTTCGACTGAGCGCTACACTTTACCTCTGTTATATAAAACAGCTGAAAAAGTAAAAATTATCGAATACATATTTATATATTGACTGTGTTATTACTTAGAGGAATAAAAAGTTTCTACGTTCTATCTTTATTAGAACTCTAGTTATTTAAACTTTTATTCTGAGGTCACATGATTACGTCAGAAGTTCCGAGTCTCTTTCAGTAACAAGTCTGCCCCTGGTCAGAGTTGGATGGTAAGGAAGAGTTGGAGTCGGTAGAATTTTATGCAACTCCACAGCCCTGGTTATTACTTTGAAGATGTGATCAGGAAAAAATGTGACCAAGTGTATCAAGGTTTCACAAACTTTATCTTCCAAAGCTGTTATTGTTGTTGTAGTTTTATTGAGCTTTACATGAGTTGAAAATTCATACCCATGTTGATATATGACTTGGGAGAGGAACCCAGGTTATTCCATGGGGTTTAAGTCAGGTGGACAAGATGGTCAAGAAATGACATTAATATTTTGCTACACAAACCATCATTTAATATAGTCTGATGCATTATCTGGTTGAAAAACGCAGTTTTAACCATACAAGATTCCTCCATAAGAGCAGAGATGATCTAACAGTTCAACTTTGCTTTAGAATTTATTCTCGTGTTAATGAAAAGTATATTGTTTTTCTTTGTAGAAAAATCTGGAATTTGGTCCTATATATTATACAATATTATTTAAAGAGGAAATTATTTTATTTCAGGATATTTCAAAAGTACATGTAGTTAAATTGTTTTTAATCACTAGATTGAAATCATTTTATTATTATTACAATTTAATTAGCATTTCATAGAAAATGCTGTTGTAAAAATATTTATATTCAATATGATTATGAAATAATTTTAAAACTAATTATGGTAAACATTAAAACTTTGTCACAATTATTATTTTACATAAAATAAATGTTTTGTCATGAAGACATTTTATCTTTCTATTCTATCTATATAGTAACATTTTAAAATTAAATAATTTTTCATAGCAATTATCATCATAAGTTAAAAATTTAAACTTGAATTTTTATTTAATATGCATAATTAAATTTTTAAGAAATTTATTTCATTATCTTTTACTACATTTTTACAGGCCGACATCATTATCCCATTAATCACAAACGAATTTCTACAGGATATTGAAAATAGAGATGAAAATCAAATATCAAGTGTGAATAGTTCCAATGTAAAATATGTATATAATCGTTTACAAACGGATTATTTGAACAGCGGTTCCATAAATTTACACTTAATCCCAGTTGTAAAGGAAGGTACGAGTATGAAGTTTCGTAAACATCCGGAATTGAGAATGGCTAAAGTACTATGGAGAGAATTTAGCAGCTTATGTAATCTTATCTCTCCCTTCCATAATAGCACAAAAATTCAAAGAAAAATTCAAAATGATGTTCTACTTCATTCCTGTGTTTGAAAACCATTTTAATCGATAATGTGAAGGTAAACTGACATATGCTTTTTTATATACAAATAACTAAATATTGAATATTTATCAATTGTTTACAGTGTTTTCCAAAAGCACACTGTTGTTAAGAAACATTACTGACAATGATCAGTAATTTTGATCAAGTTAAACAACTTATCTAATTGTTTCTGTTAAAATGTCAATATCAAATGAGAGGACAAAATGAAATGGTATAATTCAAGTCATTTTAATTATTATGAACTGTGTCAAACAATTTTGTTAATTATATTTTATCTAATATTTAATATAATTAGATTATTTTTATATTGAATAAAATATAAAATTGTAATATTAAATTTTTAAAAATTGAATGAATAACATCATCTGTTATTCTATTTAAATTGAATATAAATTTTATAGCAGTTTGTTATAAATGTTCTTATTAAGAATTTATACTAAGAGCAAAGCTCGGAAAATTAGCCTTTTATATTATAAAAGAATATTTATAATAAAATGTATGATTTTACGAAAAATTTTATTAGTTTCCATAATTATTTTATGCATTTATTTATTTCTCCAACTTATTTGCTATTATTCTTCATTAATCAATGCTTTTATTTTAAAACATATAAAATTAAATTACATTGTGATATCTAGGGATTGGAAATTGCCTTGTAAATATTTTGCATATTGTGCTGAGAACATTTTAAAAGCACCAGAACATGCCAAACCAATGATTTGAGCAAATTTTGAGGTAATTATTGCGAATATTTTGGACTTCCAGCATATTTTGCATAAATTCAAACATTTTGAAATAAAACTAACTAACAACTTGCTTATATTAATTGGTTTGAGACACACCAATTAATGTAAGTAAACATAATCAAGTGACATAGCATCACTCTGTTGCTTGAGTTTCTCTTGATCAAGAGAAACTCAAGCAATAATGCAGCAAATTACAGTTTTAACTATGGATTAGAATTTAATTGAGGTTTACTGGAAGTTTTTACAACAACAGACACACCATTTTACAAGATTGACAATCCAAAAATGAGGGAACTTTTTAAGAAATGGAGAAAGTATAATCCTTCAAATTCAATAATACTGTAAAAAAGTTATTTCGACAATATGTATGAATAAATAGAATCTCACATCACTAATAAATTGAAAATTAAACTTATTTGGTTGATGGTAGATGAGACACTTGATCACCAAAATAAATAATAATTAATGTTTTAGCTAGAAATTTGAATTCTGACTACAAAAAAATGAAGTATTTTTTTAATATAAAGTATATCTTTTGCTAATTTAAATAGCATATTATTTTAGAAGCAATTGTGATAAAAGTATTACATTTAGAAATATTGTATTGTTTGTTAGTGATGCAGCTGCAAATACAAAAGCTGTCAGCAAGACATTTAAAGATTTAAATCTGCTTATTCATATAACTTGCTTGGTCCATGGTCTTAATGTCATCACTGAAAATATCTAGTTGCAATTTTTTAATGTTGATATGTTCATCACTAACATAAAGTGTTATGTTGTATAAAGAATTAAACTCAAGTTTAGCTTTACCTTCCGCATAAAGGTGTAGCTTATTATTAGATAGTTATGAAACATCATCTCGTATTTAGACGTGTAAAAAGTGACAATTGTATCGCTATTGAATTTTACAAGAGCTTCGAACCTCAAGCACAGAACAAAATGTTTATTTCAACTCATTTGCATTTCTTACTAATTCAATGACTAAATTTGAAAGTGTAAAGCTATCACTATTGGAAACAATGGGAATAATTAGAAACATTTGACGAAAAGCTTTCAGCTGTTCTTCAATGAGGTAAGAAAATTTATTTAAATTTTAAGTATTATAGAAAGCAATCCTGGTTTAAAAGAGCATGAACTTGATGCTGTTTTAAGTGGAAACAATTGGACACATTCAATGCTATCAAGTAAAGAACCGCAAGCACTAAAATATGCCGTTACTACACCTATTTGCATTGAGTGACCATTTAGTCAATTTAAAACTATCACAACAACAAGGAAAGGTTTTCAACTGAAAACTTGTCATGTAATTTATTCAAGTACAAAAAAAGCTGTGACAAAAATATTGTTTGGTTTTAAAAATATTGTGTATTACAATAAGGAACTGCATGATCAAAAATTATTCTACCAAACAAATTAGAATTATTACACTGAAATCACTGAATGTATACATTGTATGTATGCCTTTAGTAGTTTCAGGGAATAGAGCAATAAATATGTCTGCTGTGCATGAAGAAATTTTTTACATTTTCTAAAGATGTTCATTGACTTTAAACAAAAGAAAATCTGTTTGATGATTTTTAAATTGCAGACCAACAAATAGCCTGCATCAGCTTTCAAATTGATTTTTAAACACAGATAACTTACAGGTTACCTGCACAAAACTAATTTATTAGAAATAACTGTGGTAATAGTAATTTTGATTAATAGTCACTTGAACATTTATAATTTAAATAAATGTAATATTAGGTTCCTAAATCATTCGGATGATGATTGATTTACGGAAAATTAACCTAATGACAACAAATTAATTTCTATTGGATATGTATTTCCATAACTAAACTAATTATTATTATTATTATAAATACAGTAATTCAAATCTGAAAAAAGAATTACAGCAAGATTTCTATTTACAAGGTTTGTATAATATATAAAACTTGTATCATAATTACATTTCACTGTGTAATTGGGTTTGATGCAGCATGCCTTCAAAGGATGAATGTTCAATTTCAACTTTTCCCAAATTTGATAAATATGAACTATTTGGTTAACTGGATGCAGATTTAAAAGTTCAGAGTACCGAGAGGAGCAATAACAATTAGAACATTGTTGTTTGTAGTTAAAAATGATCTTTACAATTATGAAAACTGAATAATTTGTAAATTGTAAATCTAATTACAATCTGTTTAACTGCAGTGGGAGATAAGTTCCAAATGCCAATCTTAACAAACTCCTAAGGATTAAATATAAAGTTTATTTAATTATAACTAGAAAACTATATTATCCATCCATTAAATCTATTGTTTTATTTTGTACAACAAAATTTGAACTTTTTGTTAAGCATCATATTTTAAATAACACTTTTTTTAAGAAGTGTTTGTATAATCTGAAGATGATATAATACTGAGTAATTGTAATTAAAGTAACACTAGTCAACACTTTAAAGATATTTAATAGCCAAATTTGACACAATAGCAGTTTAGGATATACAGTAGACATTTCCATAAAAAATTTGTACCAAAACTCATCACTATGGCAGTTTTGGCATTGCAAGCTGTATGATTTTTGTTTGCGGAGACACTTAAGACACTGCAAATTTGGCAGTCTTAAAAAACTAGTATCAGTGTGAGAAGCATCGCAGAGGATCAATTACACACTGTTCAATCAACTTCAGAATGGCGACCACATTGAGCAGTATTTTCTGCGTTGCTGAGGTCTACAAGACACTCTGTAAAACATGAGTGTCTTGTACAAAAATATGTATGTAGTGCTGAAAGTGACATAATGGTGAGTTTAGGCATTAATTTTTTTTACAGAACTCTTCTGCATGTTCTAAAATGTCACCATACCAAATTTGGTTCCTTTGAATTACTAAATCTCTCTAGACAAAATTAAATAGGGATATTTTAGTTACCCTATTTAATACTTTAATCATCCAAAATATATGCAATTTCATACTAAATAATTGAGATAAGTACTTTTTAATTATAATCATCCTGTATATTCATGTATTTAATAATATATGCAGTAATTATTATGATTATAAAATTCTTAACAGTAATACCCTAATACTTTATATTTAAGATCTATACTTAATTTATTCTAACCAATTACAATGAAATGAAAGTTTAGCAGTTACAATGGTCAGGGCCTAGACCCAAGTCACATCCTACTCGATCAACTGACTCCAAGCAAAAGACTCCAGAATCTTCTGCCTACACATGGGTATGATCTAACCAGAGGTCTAGTTGTTGTTGTTTTATTTTCACATGTCCAAAAAAATATCCAGTAATAAGTTGCTTAACTTTCTCTGCAGCATTTGGTGACACCATCTGTTATGATATATACTTTTTGCCATTTTATAATAGTTAAAAATATACAAAAGCTTAATTTTGAGAGTAGGGATGGATTTTATAAAATATTGTAAATGCTAATAACAAATAAAATCTTCATTAAGTCCTACCCTATTGGAGATACGCATGACCCCCTTTATCTCCCCCATCCCTCTACCTTTAATCACCAAAATTTAATAGCATCAATCCCCTAACAAACAAACCTCCCTGCAAAAACTTCAGAAATTTTTGAAAGCCCAGGAGTTAAGCTTCAAAGAGAGTAAACAAAATCATATAACACACACACACACACAAACATCCATACATACAGAAATTACCCCCAAATATTTTTGCATTTTGACATTTCAAGGTCCCAAGTCCAAAAATGTACAAATATGAGAAGAAGTAATTTTTTTGGCCAATTACCATACTTTTCCTGTGTTATATAGCAGCTGGGAAAGTAAAAATCTTACCGTAAACTAATAAAAACAATAATTTGTATATAAAGAAAACAGTACAAAAAGAAAATACAACACTATATTTATTAGCACTAAAATACAAGATTTGGCAAATAAATAAAACAAACTGTTAAAATATATAAAATTTGGGTAACATTTACAAAATATTTTTTTTTTAAATAAAATGAGACTACAGATAGTTGTACTTTATACCAAAAAATGTTAATAAACAAATGAAAACAAAGTTTCATAAACTATTTATAAAACTTGTCACAAAATATAGAATTTAATACTTTTAAATTTGTGATATGTTGAAAATTAATTATAATTAACATGATAAAGCTTCAGAATTTCTTTAAGTATTAAAATTTCATTGGTATATATAAATGCTTAATAAATTACATATTTTTATAATTATACTTAATACATGTGTATATATATATAAACGTAATTTGTGTGATCTTTAATTTCAAAATTTAACATGGCTCATATTTGCATTAGTAATAAGTATTGTCGTAATCTCTCAGTTGAACATATAGACAACAGGAGAAGATCATACCTATAATCTAGGAAAAAAGAAAGAAAAGTTAAATTTGTAAATCAAACAAAATTTGAAATATTAAAATTTAATTAATCTTAAATTTTAATTCTAGTAATTATGAAGAGTCCTAAATGGCATTATAATACCTCTTCATAATTTCTTAAGTTTAATTTGTTGGTACACATGTTTGTGAATAATTGGGACCTAGTAATCCTTCTTGAATGCTGAGTTCTATTTTCAATGTCAAATTTGTAATTTGTTCCAAGACTATGTATTACTGATGTGAGATAGCAGAAATTCCTATATTAGAAATAGTCTTTAATAATAACATTTCGCAAATTATGCAACAATTGTTGTTCTTAGCTACCTGAGAAAGTCTCCCATTACATTTTCTCGAAAGCAACATGACGCTTTCTCGTGAACTATTAACCTCTGCACGGCCGAAATCGTCCATGAATATCACCAGAGACAGCTGAAAAGAGTTAGTCGCCATTATAGTCCTCGGAGAGGAAAGAAGTCGTCATCCCTTCAATCATCGTCCATCTAATCATCACCAAATTAATCATCGCCCATAGGATAACCTTTTTGTGTCTGTGTGTGTGTTGGTGCACGATCACCTGAATAACTAAAAACACCCATCAGAACTGGATACCTCCTGAAAAAACCCATAAGATGATCTTGTTCTCCGATTCAACAAGACCCGACCGGGATATCTATTACCAAAGGTATTTATCACCCCGCGAATTGTATGTGAACTCTCTCTCTCTCTGCAACAAAACTTTATCCAATAGATTTTTAAATAAACCATTGTTAATTGTTAAGTGTATCTGAGTCACTTCCAATGTTGTCTCTCGAAACGACATTACGAATCCGTCTGACCATGAACGGGACTGCTCGCGTGACGTAATTGCCGTCTCAGTTTCCGTGTTCCGAGAAACACGGTGGTGTCAATCCTGACAGGGTACCAAAGAGGTGCCGGCCCGAAAGGTCACACTACTGTTTTAAAAAATTTCAGAAAAACGAATGGTTTTATTAAATAAATATATTGTGCAATGGTTTATAGTGCTACAAAGTCATTTTATTTAAGCCAAACGAAAAAAAATTAAACAAAACAGTAACATAACTTATGATAGACACCATATGAATAAGTGCAGTAGTCTTTTAGCATTGTGCCTGCTTGAACATCCAGTTTATGGTAGTACATAATCTCCCATTTCCCAAAAAGTCTAAACCAGACATGGCCAACATATAGCCCACGGGCCAGATCCGGCCCGTCTAATGAATTTATGTGGCCCGCGATCAATCTTTCAATATTAGCTACTCTAGTCCAAATAGCTCGATGAAAAATTCTGACACCTAAAAAAGAAAAAAGTCAACAACTCACTGTGCATTTAGAGTTAAAGCTCCATTACAAATCCCGTAAGTACAGCATAGAATGTTAATAAAGCATGATAATGTGAAAAATGTATCTGCAATCTCTATGTACAATTTAGTCTCTACAGAGTGACACCACAATGAAATCTCACACAACTTCAAAATCTTCCTAGGGCAGCCTCTGGTTCGGCCCATGGAAAAAGTTTTCTTTCCAATTCGGCCCAGGGCAAAAACTGTTGGCCACCCCTGGTCTAAACCTTTCACAAAAGTTGAAATTTTGGTGCATAAATTTCCAATCACAAATGATGAATTCCAAAACACTGATGTCAATGAACATCGAGGGTATAGTGTAGTTTATTTTCATTGATTCCCAGCTCTGTCATATGTGAAGCTGTTTGAAAAGTTCTAGAAATGGCCAAAAACATACTAAAAAACTAATCTGAATGTCCATTATAATGAAGGAGGTAGCCAACTACAAGAATACAAGATTGGTTTATAAACGGGCTTCCACAATTTATAGTCTACTTAGGAACGACAAGGATAGGATCAAGAAGGAGGAGTGGTCTGGGATGTATACAGAATACTATACAAAACTGATCAGCTAGAGCTAAATAAAGAATACATAGGGGTCACCAACAGGAATTTGAGTAAAAGGCTTAAGGAGCATGTGTTCGATATAAGTAAAGGGCACTACAATACAGCACTATCTAAGGTGGCACAGACTGAAGGTTCAGTAATTGATTGGAATGAAGCTAGGATCATTAGGCAGGTACACTCACTGTCTTTAGAAATGACTGTGGAAAAATTTGAAATATACAGATCAGGTGCTATGGGCAAATGTTTGAACTATAAAGACACCACAAATTTACCAACGGCATGGAAATATATGATTGATAATAACCCGGTATAATTGGTTATACAGCATGTACTCGGTCCATATAATTATGTTTATTGTATGGATACATATTTTTATTGCATTTTATGTTAATTTACTTTATTTATTTTGTTATTTACTTTACTTGGATCCATGTATTTAATTAGTTCTATTTATCATTTATATTTTTGTATTTAAATGTATTGTTCGAACAGACATAGAAATTTGTATTTCGTTTCACATAAGCGTTCAAACTGGAACCGGTCAAAGAAACGTTCCAAGAATTTCAAAAATACCTGATGACCTGTGGAGCGGGTAGAAAATGTTTATAGGATAATAAATATTACTTCTCAGAAGCATAAGGTGTTTGAGTCAAAGTATTCAAAGAATTTGAGTATTTATTGAAAAAGAAAACTAATCTTTTCATATATTTCTGTTCTTCAATGCATACATTCCATTTTTTGTGTGTGTCACTAACAAAATTGATTTTAGCAGAAGTATTTAGATTCTGAATGCATTCAACAAAATACTTTCTATTTAATTTATTCTTCAGTTTATGAGGAAAAAATAAGCAATTAATCGTTAATGTTGAAATACTGTATTTTACTAAAATCTTTAAAATATTTAATAACTATGTGCCATTTAGAAAAAATTGTTTTTGATAAAAATATCTTTCATACCAAGAAAAAAAAGCATGTACTGTACATGTTTAAACTAATAATATAACATGCTATGTAATATTTTATGTAAATTAAATAATTAGTATTTTAAAATGCATGTGTTTTACACTCATGAGATTATATAATAAATAAAATAATAAATAAAAGTTATTTCTAACAATGTTAAAGAATCTGCTACAGGATGAAATTCATATATTTACAAACTAAAATGTGTAAATATGAAATTCATCCATTTAAAAGAATGCCTTGGTCATATTTAACCACTTAAAGTGACTAAATGTCCCGAATTTGGCGTGACAGACCTACCTACTTTAATATGCTATCCCAATTTTTAAACTGCTTCAGAAAATGTCCCACTTTTGGACTGTTCCATAACAGCTGCCATCCATCGAATGAATTGCAAAGCAAAGACTAATCACAATAAGGTTATAGCATCAGGGTTAAAAATTAAGAATATCTGCTAGTTGTCCGGTAGGCAACCAGCTCTAGACTTCTGGTTGTTCTGTAACAAAATGAATTGTCCAAACTGCAGGCTTGTATTTTTTCTTTTTTTTTATAAACTACTAATTCATAATAAAGCTTTTTATTCCTTGTACACTATACAGCTATTTATTAGGTCTATACATAAAAAAGAAAATCAGTCAACCTACAAGGTGTTTGTTTACTGTAGGTGTCAACTTAGCATTTGAGTAGGCCTATAAATTCTTATTGGTTGTGTTTAAAATTTGTCAAAAAAAATTTTTTGTGAAGTAAAATTATATTCAAAAACTCAAACAAAAAAGAATTTGTGATAAAAAATAAAATTGTAATTGATTACAGTAATAGAAATCATGTTTGGGATCACATGCTAAAATTTAGTGCTAAGCCAATAACTGATATATCAAACCAAAATCAATAAATGTTTACATTATTAATAGCAAACATTTATTAGTTTTGGTTTGATATATCAGTTCAACCCCCCTGGCAACAATCCTTTCCAGAATTTTTAATATAGTGCAATTATTATATTTATTATATTATTATATTGAAAGAGGTAGAGAGTTTATTATTATTAAATGCCAAATTACCAGTACTCAACATTGTCAATAAAAGGCAGTATTTTATCAATACAGTATTCAGTATTTATCTAGAATATCAATATTTTTCTGTATTTATTTAAATTTATTAATATAACATATCAAATAACTCTTTATATCAAACAGTGGCCTAACTAAGGGGAGCAAAGATGCACGTGCACCAGGTGTCAACCTCAAAAGGTACAAAAATGAATCTATAGACTTTTCTTTTTGTAGATAATATTGAATTACGGATGCCAAAATTGTTCGGTATGGTTCTGGTATAAAGCCATTGTTGATATCAAAATCTCACTTTAGCATGGTCCTACTAAAATTCTCTTTAAAGGATGCACAAAACTAATAAATGACTAATTTGTTATTCAATACTACACGTAAGATAAAAATATAAACAGCTGAATGATTAATGAGTGCTGATTAATGAATTTTATTTATTAATCAGCATTCGTTAATCATTAAAGCAAAACTATTATTTACAGTTTTTCTGTATTTGAAACACAGTACAACTTGTTCAGTTTGGAACGTGAATAAAACAAAAACTTTTCTATTTCTAAAATTATTGGTCCTGGCAAAAATAAGTCTTTTCTTATATATTTTGTATAAAACTGAAAAACAAAGTAATTTAATACTACAAAATATTAATCTCAACGATGAGTTTTTAATTTAGTAATGTGTTTTAGAAAATATTGTATTTTGATTTGAATCAAATTTATAATTTAAATGCAACAGAGAGTAAAATTGATGAATACATATAACATGAATGAATGATAATATAAATGAATAATATAGTATAAAGTGATCAGACATCCTATATTGTAAGGAAATTGTATTTTAACCTCCTTTTTCATTGTCTTAATACTTTTGGTGAGGATGTCAAAATGGCCCTTATTCCTGGATTTCCAGAAAAATGTCCTATATTTTGAAGAAATGGTTGAATTGAAAAGTCTTCCTACGTAAGTAAACAAATGCCACCATTTGTTAGTTGTTATAGAGATGAGACCATATATAAAATGTTTGGCATCCTGATCCTTCTGATTATGGTGTGTACTTTGCTATGTAAGATGCATCCCACCTTATAAGACAGGCAATTATCAGCAAACAAAAGCAGAAAACAGTATGTCAGTACAGTGTATAAATATCACAAAATATACCTGCAATACAGCTTCAAGAAGTTTTATGAATTTTTATGGGAAAACAAACCCACCACTGTGAAAGATACATTCCTCTAAAAAGTACACATCATGGACTATTAAGAGTCCTATCAGCATATGTATAAATTAATAAAAATAAAAGTACTTATATAATGATTTTTGAAATCTGCCATTTACTATTAAATTTGTGTTTTTGTAGTTTTATCTACAACATACGTAAATGGTCAGTAAGAAAGATGGGCGCAGACACAAGAATAGGAGAGGGCACTCGGCTGTCCTGTATTGGTTGTACCAAAATAGAGTCAGTTTAATATCTCAGTTATTTTTTTTCTTTGGATGTATATTATTATTTATAAAGTTTATTATTAAGATTATAATTATATATAATAAAGTTTAGAATCTGAATTTAATTTATAAACTGTTATGATGAGAGAAATCATCTCAAAGATCAGACCTTTAGAGTGACACTGATCATTCAAATATAAAAACTATCACCATTCAAACAAAAAATTAATTTAATATAACATCTAAATATTTTAAAACATAATTTAAAACTGTAATTGATTGATTACAGGTTTAAATGTACAGAATGAGAAGTGTTAATACAGATGTAAGCATAAAGTTTTAAATATATTGTAAACAAATATAAGTTTAATTTGCTTGCATATATCTGTAATTCACTGCTAAGTTGCATATCTAACCATTACATAACAAAATAAAAATTATAAAGTTAAAATATTTCAACTTCACCAACCTTGTGTAGACTTGGCATGTAAGTGAGAAAACCATTACTAATGTTTTTGGTCTACATATAAAACCTTCAAGTAGATTTTTTTCAAAATCAAATCTTTCTGGTACTAGCGTTTTGATTGGAATGCATAGAAGACCCTCCAACATGTTTGAATTATAATGATTTTTCCTTCTTTTAGTTTTCTCTTTGAACTTGTTGGAGAGTCTTCTACACATTCAAATCTAGAATGCCAGAACCAGAAAGATTCGATTTTGAAAAAATCTTATTGATTAACATCTTATTAAAAGATTAGTGTAAAAAAAGTTTTGTTTGAATTATTTTTGTTCTATACCAATAATAATAATCTTAATCTTATAGTTTGAAATACACTCAGAATGTTTAGAAATTATATTTTTGTTTGAATGATCAGTGTTGTTTTCAAGGTCTGATCTGACAATGGGACTTAAAAAATAGTTTCATCAAATAAATTCTGACTCTGAACTTTGATTACTGATGCCATTTTATATCATAAGAAATCACTGCTAACAACAATGAATATTGCTTATAATTTAAATGTTTCTTAATTATATAGAGATATTTTTAAAGTAACTAATCAAGGATAGATTTATTGACTTATCAAAAGATACAGAGAATATGATAAATTTATCATAATTTTAAGTAGCCATCTGAGGAAACTCAAAACATTTATATATAAACAATGCTTCAGAATCCTGTACAAATATTTGTAAAATATTTTGTATTTTATTATTACATTTAAGTTCAATACTTTTTATATTGCACCAATTTAAATTTTGTTAAAATGAGAAACTGACTACACACTAGCTCCAATTAAAATAGTTAAGAAAATTATTAATTATTCTAGAAATAGAATTTTAATAGTTTGAATATTATTTTTATGTTAATTTGCAATTAGTTGTAACAATCACCAATTATTTTTTATAATTTGTTTCTATTAAATTCTATTTGTTTATATTTAATTTCATTAAAGTGCGATTTCCTCATGCTATTCATCTGATAAAAGTATCTAAGAACGAAGTATTTGTAAATAATTTTATAATAAATTTATAGTAATGATTAATAACATGACCAGGATGGCAAGAATTTTTAAAAATTTAACAAAAATTGAAGAAGAAACACTAAATATTTTCATACTTTGTCATTTATTAAACACCCCTTGAACAGTGTGAAGACACTTAAATGTTTCTTCAATCTTTGTGATATTTTTAAAAATTATACAGTATTTTTCATATAAAAAATATTAAGACAATAAACTTACATGATTCTGTTATTATTATTTTTTTAATATCTGTTTAATGAACAAACTTACCTGAACTAAGCAAATTCCTAATCCAACTGCACCAAGAACAATTAAATTGTCTTTGATCTGAGCTGCTAAAGCCGTAGCACAACCCTAAAATTGAACAATTGCAAAATATATTTTATTTGTATTAACTTGTGTTTTATTCAACATTATAATTGTCTATTTTCATGTAATATTAATATGAAAAAAGTTGAAGTTTTATTTTTTTTTTTGTATTTAAATATAATTTTATTCATACAGTACTAAAATTAAAATATTTAAAATAATAATTCTTAGATAATATAAAGCAGAAGTTATCAACCTAGATATAATTATATTGGCAATAATTTCCTACAAAAAATCTAGCATTTAGATGTTTAGACAATTGTTTGAGTGTAAAGAAAGACTCCATATGATTTTAATTTTAGGAGTCAAAGCTTTATTGGATAAAACACTTTATACAATAAAGCTCTGACTCTTAAAATTTGTAGTGTTTGTGCTTCTCCTGATAAGAGAAATACAAAATTGCTTTATTTTTTCTAACAAAAAAAAATATCTTTCACAATTATTCTCTTTTAACATTAAAAAAGATAATAAACAGAATTCATATTCATGAATTCAATTCTTAAGTTATAATGGAAAGCATTTTTTTGAAAGAAATATACATTTGAATTAACCTAACATTCAATTTACATGGTAGATTAGTTCTGCAAAAGTTATGTAAACTGAATGTAACATTTATATAGAAAATAGATTCCAAGTTTCCCCTGTTTACCCAATTTCAATTTACATACAAATTTTCCAGATCAATCCATTGTGCTTGTAAATCGAGAGTATAAAGATCAGTCGTTAGTAAGACCAATCTGTTAATATAGTAGCATCCAAATATCTAAATTGTAATTTGTGGACAAGAGTATTATCAGCATAATAAAAAATACAATCAAGAAGTATTATCAGTTAATAAAAATTTAACAATTTATAACTTGTGATATATATAAATTTAAAAGACTATTATATGGGATTCTTCAAAAAAAATGTTCACATCTCCATATAACTAGTCACTGCAGGGGTAGTAGGATTGCATTTTTTTGAAGTTGACAATTAGGTGACTTCTTTTATGTGAAGGAAAACTATACAGAAGACAACTGCCACTAAAAATCAAACATAACACTAGTATGGAAGTGACTTGTTAACATTTTTTTTTTGAAGCACCTCATATATTAATATAGTAGATTGATTTTACGATCAGTCAAATACTAACACGATGATATGCATTTGATGGATGAGTTCTAACTCCACAATTAAGGGTCTCTGTTATACAACAACTATCAGGCACTTTATGACCGTCGTCATTCTCTGCTAACCATCGACTATACTTCCAATCTTTATAGCTTTCTGCTCCACAACAATTATACTGAAAAATGATTTATCATTATTGTTAATTATAGAAGAAAACAACTGAAACTTAAAAATATTATAACAGTATTAAATATTTAAAAAATTTATTTTGTATAAAGAGTTAAACTTATCACATTAATATATTGTGCCTAATAATTATAGTAAATAATGAACATGTCATGTCAAGTTCATATATACAAAAAGATTGGCTAATTCAAATATTTTGCTTAATAAGCATTACTTTAAAATTTATTTAATGATTATAAAATTTATAAAAATATATATCTCCTAACTATTTCTCTGGTAACTGATTGTAAAGTTGTATATCATAGTAATTGTTTTTTTGGTATAACGTTTACGTCAATCCTTCAGAGGCCTCGATATGCTGTCAGCGGCTGGATTTGATTATAGAAAAAATAGGAAAAAAGTTGGAATTTATTGTACAGCACATATGAGATAACATTGATTTATTTAATTGTGATGTCTTCGTGGTTGTTTTAATCTTTTAATGTATATTTTACTTTGTTATCTTTATAAAAACAGCCAACTAAAGAGGGACTCGGAAAGAGTCTGAAATGCATTTTGGGTGTATTGTATATATTTTAGACTCAATTATTATAAAATTTCTTTATTCTTTTATAAACTTAGATATAAAATAAACTAAAAAAACTTTTTGCAATATCATATTCACTGGTGTGACAAGCCCTAAAATTTAAGTAACTGGTTATGTTATCACGAAAAGTAAAAAATATATATCTAAATTAATAAAATTATTTTTTTACCAAATATATTTATTAAATTCTATTTTCAAGTTTGACATACTTTTCTTTGCAAGTCATCTATTGCATCAGTTTTTGCTTGATCATATTTATAATCGGATATAAAAGTAGAATTTAATGTATTTTGTAGTTCCGACCAAACCTGAAAAAATACAGAAATTTTATTGATACATAAAAATTTCATTTAACTAATTTTTTATAATAAAGAATAAACTTTCAAACAATTTATCTTAAAATATTAAATATTTGTTTCATTATTAAATTTATTTTAGATAAAATTATCAGTGTATATGTATTTATTTACACAGTTTATCTTATTTTGTTTGTTTTTGCTGATAAATGATGAATTAATATATAATATCAACTGCAAGATAAATAATAATATTTTGTTAAAAAAAATAATAAGAAAATTATNACTAGTTATATATATACAACTGGCGCTAGTGTCTGCGAGGTTTTTTTTTCTTGTTACTCCGTTTCTTCCGTTAGTAAAACTGTATAGAAGTACATTACGGCAACAGCCTCAAGAAGGAATATTAAAAGAAGAAGAAATGTATACTAAACAAAAAAATTAAAATGTCATTGAAAAGAAATCTAAATGATAAGATAAAATATAAGCAGTCGAGAAAAATACTCACAGCAAGAATACAACAACGGTCTTCTTTACAGAGTCCAACGCATCCCAAGATCGATACCAAAAACACGATAATTCCGGCCGTTATCAAAATGTATGCCGTGGCTGCGTAAGTACTAGTATTCAGAATACTAAAATAATGCTGCTTTGTAATCACAGTCCATAGTCCGACACTAAACACGGCACAACCGGTCAACTAGAAATTTAGTTTCGAAAGGATTTATTATCGTAGTATATCTAAATTGTTTAAAATTAATAATCACTTTTTAAATTTTACTTAAAAAACAATACAATACAATACAATACAACACTAGATAACTGAGAGATTAGTATTGATTTATAACCTTAGCACATTCATTGATTTATATTAAAATGTTGAAAACAGCTTTTAAAGAAGCGAGTTTTCCAATTGTGTAGATTACATAATAGCCCACTCTCAATCTTGGCCATTTTCCAAACAGTATCTTGTCCAACACAAACATTTTCTATAACCTGTTTTTTTTTTTTTTTTTATTTTGTATAATTTATTGCAGTATTTTTTTTTTTTTTTTTGACTTCAAAACTTTTGAAATAATTAATAGAAATAACTTCATAAATTAAATTTAATTGGGTAACTATTACTAAAGTGCTTACAACAAAAAAATCAAGAACCTATCATTCCATATCTATCTTATTTATAGGTCATTTTTTTTGTTTGTTTGTTGTAATTCTTAGCATTTATTTAAAAACAGGAATTAAAAAAAAACTGAAGTTTTACATTTTTAGTAAATTTTATTTCTTTTATTTCCTTTCCACAAACTGATTTTTTCAAAATAAAGAAGTATTTATTTATTATCTGTAATACTATAATTACTGTATGTTTTAGTAATAGATACTATTGTTCCTGTAGCAGGATACTGCACCTACTTTCACACCAAAAGTGGGTGTTTCTTGACATATTAAGACTGGTTTTAGGGCGAGTTTTAATGCTAACACTCTGACATCCTGGCTGGAAATAGTTCTGCTGGATAACTAACTGTATATTTATACGATGACAGAATAGCAAATGCTGTTAACTGTTATTTTTAAAGTTTTGTTTAAGGCAAAAGACACCCTTCCTGTTTTAAAACATGTCAAAATATACATAATAAATTAGCATATTTCACAGACAAAACATGGTTTTCCTGTATTAATTTTTTATACAAGTTCTTAAAACTTAATTTTTTTTTTTTTTTACTTACCAGAAAAATAAAATTGAAAATATGCAAAGCATATTTTAAAAACTGTACACTGCAGCAACCTTCATCTCTTTTTCGGTATGTTGCCATTATTATTTATTTTTATTCCCTTCTATTCCTGTCATACATAAAAAAAAAAATAAAAGCAAAACATGTCCATTACTAATTTTAACTCTCTGCTTATGTTTACATGATTATTTACTCAAAAATTTCACCTTGAAATCGTTAAAGTTAGATCAAAATACATCTACGCATCAATTAACACGTGTTTTTCCTTACGTAGTATTAACGGAAGTTATTAAACTTGTTCGATTTAATTGCTATATTAAAACGGTGATTAAAATTTTAAAATGAGTATAATCGAGGTTATTATAGTCGAGGACATTTAAATAACGCAAAAAACTATGTAATACGAGAATTTACAACTACATCTGGATGGTGGCAATCGGTTTAAGTAGAAAAAATCGAACAGTTGGTTGTGTCGGGTGTATCCCAGACAATCGGAGACAAAACAGATGGGGTCAGTGATCAGATAGATTGATCTCTTATCACGTTTCCGACCCGTTCCTCTTTATACTTTATCCGCCTTTTCCTCTCTATTTTTTATTATTTTAAAACATATGTTTTTAAAACGCAAACGTATATTTCGCGATCGCATTACGTAAATCGGAGTATTATCCGCATTCTTTACATTCCTTCGTTTTTTTTAAGCCATGCGGTTTTACCTGAATGGTCATCCTAATATGGTAACATGCTGATGATTTAAAGTAAACTCACATATTTTCCTATGAAGTAAACTACACCTTCAGCACATATTCCTTTCCTGATGGGTTTGCTGTTTCTAACACTACGAAACCAACGAGAGCATAGTCCTTGACACTCCACACATGAGAACTCAAGGACATCCAGTTGTTAATCAAACTACTTCTCACAGGCTAACTCAA